CTTGGCTGGAAAAGGCCCATGCAAACGAATATGCTTTGGTTTGGGGAACAGGGTGGGAGTGAAGTGGAGTTTGATACGCCCCACCATGAATTGGAAATAGCTAGAACTGAAATTCAGTTACACGTCTAAGAGTGGGCCCAGGTTTTTTTAATGAAGGATAGGTTACAGGGTTAGAAATATGGGCCTATTTTGGGAAATGGAAAACATTTAACCTCTGCTGAACATTAGAAGCGAAGGGAGGCATCAGACATAGGAGAGACAATATGGACATGCAGCAACTCAGGAGCTGATCCTGTCTGAAGGAAAAGAGGCTGAGGTTTACCTTTGCCTTGGAGAGGAAAGACACTGAGCCAGGGGACCAGAAGGTCCCAAAAGAGGTAGCTTCTTCACTATGGGGGAAAGGAGGGTTGAGGACAGCTCCATTTGAAGAGCAGGTAGGGTTGTCCATTGAGGAATATTCAGAGGGAGGGGCATGTGGAGCTAAGAACCTGCCATCATCTTACATTATGAAGGGCCAAGGAAGAAGCGGCCCTCTGGGTACAGAGCAATGCCGTTTCTACTCCCTAAAGCTTTGATTTACCACAGAAACTTCTGGGTGGTGTATAAAATGTAGCACTAATTTGATAGCAGGGTGGTTCTGAATGATACTAGATTCCTCTCTGCCCCCCCCTAGAGTGGCTGGTAGAGATGGCACAGGTTGACAGTCTAGTGTAGTGCAGTGGTCAGGGTATGATCCTCTTCTTTGATCCACCACTCCCTCAGCTCTAGGTCCTGAGATGATAATTAAGATATGGTTGGGGCTCAATAAATGAACAATGGCCTTTGTGAAGGATCTGGATTCATGTTCTGTGAGAGAAACAGCTCTCACTCAGAACCAGAATTTTTCTCAATTTTCCTGACATCAAGTTCTCAAGTTAGACATTTTTAGGAAATGAAAATCGTGGACTGGCTGGGATTAGTGCCTGTAACCCTAGCACTCTGGGAGGCCAAGGTGGGTAGATTGCCGGGGCTCAGAAGTTTGAGACCTGCCTGAGCAACAGCGAGACTCTAAAAATACCCGGGTGTTGTGGCGGGCGCCTGTAGTCCCAGCTACTTGGGAGGCTGAGGCAAGAGGATTGCCTTAGCCGAAGAAATTGAGATTGCTGTAATCTATGATGATGCCATGACCCTCTGCCCAGGGCACAGAGTGAGATTATGTCTCAAAAAAAGAAAATTATTTAAATCAGAGGGTTAGAAGACTGGTTGGAGGCCCAGCTGCTTCAATTTTAATATAACAAACGGGTGAGTGGTAGCTTTGAAGTCGTATTTGTGATGAGCTCAGGACTGGTTCGCCCAGCCGAATCTGGGTTCTTAGGTCCTGTACAGGGTGTGGCGTGGAAAGCGAGTTGCTGTTTGCAGAGTGGAACTGCCCAGCCTCTCTGTCCTGGATTTCTGAGCCCTACCTGGGCCTCGGGCATTTACCTGGGAGGGGAGGCTCCGAAGGGGATGGCACTAGTACCGAAGGTCCTGTCCACTCGGGATGCGCGTGGCGCTCACGCGTCTTCAGTGACGACGTCGCCTCTCCCCGCCCAGGGCGTTTTTCCCAGCTGCTCTGTGTGCCCCGGGGGTCGAGGATGTCAAATGGAAGGAGGAAGCTGGGCGCCAAGGCCTCAGTGGAGGGCTTCTCATGCGGCCTGGCAGCAGCTTCACCCCACCCTCGCTCGGGTGGGTACGCGCTTGAAAGCGCCCCCGCTGCCGGCAGCTGCGGGAGCTGCGGCGGGAACAAAGGCAGCACGTGTCTGGGCGGGGCGGCGGGCGGGGTCGGTCCTCGGCCCCGCCTTCCGCGGCGCGCCCCGGGCCCAGTGGGCCGAGTTGGGTTTCGCCGGCGCGCGGGACTCTCGGCGGCCGGGCTGCTGCTGTTGGGCTCGTCGCGGAGCGGGCGGCGAGCCGCGCGGGAGGGGCGGCACCCAAGGGCGGGGCGGGGCGAGCCGGGCGCCGCGGGGACCCTTGGCTGGAAAAGGCCCATGCAAACGAATATGCTTTGGTTTGGGGAACAGGGTGGGAGTGAAGTGGAGTTTGATACGCCCCACCATGAATTGGA